TTAAAGCTTATTAAAGTACTGTATACATATACGAAATTTAAATCGTGATATTTTTTCTGATTTAATTATTGGATAACATCAAACCTTCGTTTATTTTTTCACACCATTGAATATTTAAAAAAACTATAAATATATTAATATTCCAGGTTATGTCTCTTTCTTAATAAAAGACAATTAATAAATTTATTAAACTATATTCAATTAAAAAATTTTTAAATTTTGCATTGTACGTATTTCGAATATTTTCGTGTAATATAATATAATAAAATACTTTGCGTAAATATCCTTTATATATATATATATATATATATATATATATATATATATATAAATATGTAATAATTTTTGTGTTATATATATTATTATATATTATTATGTACTTTTTAATTTGATTATATTAATTTTGTAATTACATTTATATTTCATAACTATATATTGCATTCTATTTCGCGAGATAAAATATCTTTACAATAAAATATCATATATCAAGCTATGCTGTGTAAAAATTATAATAAAATTGTATAAAAATTATTTATACGCCACGTGATAGAATTATTGAAAATCGAAAAACAAATATATCTCGCAATACCTTTATTTTTTGAATAATTGTTTTACCTCCTAATTATCTTCCTTCTCAATAAATTGGAAAACGCGACTGGATCCCTTTGACCTTTACGTTCAGATTCCGTTCTTTCTCGCCGGCTGTAGACATTCCACGTTGTAATTGGCTGTATCGTAGGTATTACGTTATGTGTAATTAACATTAGTTTTACGATCGATAGCTATCGTTAACCCACATGCAACTTTTTATCCAATCGCGTTCTTCAAGATTCCAAGACTTGGCAACTTATCGCGATAGCGGAATTCCCGTATGAATGTCGTAATCGTATACGTTGCCATATTTCTCGACATTGACACAATCGTCTTTTCAGGAGTGATGTCACATTGATACGTAACAGATTCCCGAGTCGCATTTTCGAGAATGTTTCGATTTTAAATGAATCAAAAAATAATGCAATGCAATGTCTTGCAATTATTTCGTCCGAATAAAGCGATTTTTAAATTATCTCTTTTGCATTGAAATTCTTTGATCAATTTAAAAATCGACATTTTTTTTAGCGAAACTTTTGTCAATTGTCAACTTCATCTTTGTTCAATTCACACAATTTCTTAAAAAAATTTTTCAAACTTTAAAATTTAAACTTTAAAATGATGTAGCAATTGAAAAGAATATGTTAATAATGTATCAAAATTTTTTTCTTTAGAAAGGAAAAAATTTGAGAAAAAGAATGCATAAGAAAGAAAAGCACAATAAGATAGAAAACAAGAGTTTCGCTTGTAAAAATATCAAATCAGACAGACTATGTATTTAATGAAGAGAAAAACATTCTTCGATCTCATTGACGCAATCTTAATTGTGTGTGGGTTTGTCGTTCGGCCAACCCGTTTTGATCACCATGCAGTCACGCTCCTCCAGGCTTGTAGAGCACACCTGTTCGCGAAGTTGAGCAAGTCCTATCGCCCACGATACTGGCTGTTCAAAGAATCCATTGACATGTTGCTACCAGTGATCTACGACACACTTGTTGACATATACCGTCGAGTATCGTATTTTCTATCAATATAAATCAATATTCTCAGCGAGTCGCAAGCCATACTATCGTACATTATCATGTGCAGAAATGTGTATCTATAGTAGTATATTTTCTTCTACTATTTGCTTTGAAGTAGATAAAGATTAAAGGCTTAGATTTAGTGAGAAACGAGGTAATGAGTGTAGATATCGTCTCTTTTAATATCTGATTTATATAAACTAGCATATTAAAAAAACGCGCGCAATTTATTTTATGAATATTATTTACATTGAATATTATTTAATAAATTGTAATTTAAAAAATTCAAGTTAAAAAAACACATGTTTTCTCGAAATATACAAAAAATGATGCAATATTAATTTAATTTTCATAATAATTTCTTGGTAAAATTAACAAGATAAATTATATTTTTTAAATAAATGTTTGTTGGACTTCATATGCAATGTTGGCTCAGCAATCATCGAAATTAATTAGAAATGCAAGGAAATACAGAAAATTCATATTCAATCTAAATTTATATTATAGAATGTTGAATATTTCAAAATAAAATTATAAAAATTATTTGTTACACGGTATTTAGTTATCGTTCATTTCGACATTATTAAGAAATCAAATTATTAGAAAGGAAAAAATTTGGATATTATCATTCGAGCGAAAAGATAATAGTGTGATATACTCCGTATCGTTGAATTCTTTTTCGAGACGTGATCGCAATAAGTGAGAAATAATTCGCTACGATCATTATAATCAATGATTAATCAACTTTTAAACGACGCATAACTGTATCGCGATGATAGGCTTTTATCGGAGCGCCTTTATCGGAATATTCGATAATTTATTATTTAAATAAAAGTTGAACAGGTAAAAATTATAAGTTACAAAATATTTTTATTTTGTAAAATTATAAAATTCTCTTCCACAGAATTGATTATCTCTTCTTTTCTTCATCGAGATATATTCCGCGATAGCAAGAATTTACGCACTATTCCCGAGCGCGAAAAAACATATACGTATTTGCATTATTTATGTGGATTTAGCGTCGTAAATAAGTGTAACGAAGCGTATACATATAATTCGCTTAAGTACAACATCGCTATGCTTTGCGTTGGGTGCGACTATTATATCTCTTTCTCCAACTTATCTCTCTCTCTCTCTCTTTCTCTTTCTTTCTTTAACACTTTCGTGCGTTCTTCGCAGAACGAGGTTTAACACGCGATGTACACGGACGAATAAGCCGTCGTTAATTTATAGTCTAATGGAATGAAGCGCGTTAAATGTGGTTTACAAATATTAAGATGTATTAATAGCATCGGCCGCGAAGATATTGCCTTTTATTCCTACGATGCGTGAAAGAGAATGAAGAAATTATGCATTTCTTTCAGTTTTCGTTCGGTTCTCTGATTTCGAAAGCGGAGAAAGCAAGCTTTATACGTATCAGATCAAATAAATAAATGTAAATTCGTCTTATTACAAATCACCGACCGAGATTTTTCGAGAAACATTGTTTCAAGCTTTCGAACATTCTCTAGATAGCTACATTTATAGTTACAATGAGAATAGAGCGATGAAAATCTTTGTTTCCGAAGAACAAATTCGTTCACATCGACTTTGAAAAGTCAGAGAAGAGAGAGATACCCTTCTGCGGTACCTTTTGTTTCCATCGAACAAAGCTAGCAGTTTAGTTGGACGAGCAGAAGGGATTTCGCGATGGTTCTTCGTGACTCCCGAGGCTCGACGAGGTTCTTTGTTCGACGTGTAATACCAGTTCAAAGAGGATTCTCCTCTCGCCCTGTTCAAACAACGAAGGAACCGTGCGGCGAATCATAAACGTTCGGTTTAAGTGCCGTGAGTGCAAGTGCGACCGTCGAAAGTGGCGAGTGAGGCCACTTCTGCACTTTCGACCTCGAGACTTGTTCCCTCGAATCTTTTCACCGTACAATTGTCCTACTTGCGAACGATACAAAGAGATTTTGCGAAAATTAATTCTTAAAATATAACAATATATAACAATTCTCGTTGAGAAATTTTAGCATTGCAGAATAGAACTCTTTAATCACACTTTAAAGTGTTTTCTTAACGAGTAATAAACTTGTCATAACTGATTAACTATTCGTGACAGGTAACAAGACTATTAAGTTTGTAGATAAATTATGATTGTGCTATATCGAAATGCGTACATTTCTTCTATGAAAGTAAATGGAATTCATCTTTAGAGCCAGCTTTTGAGGGTTAATGCAATTTGGCAGACGTACAGGATTCTCCACGCTTTCAATACGTTGCTTCATACGTCGTAGAAAGCAATTTAGACGAAAGGTCGACGTTCACCTCCGGCCATGTACGATCTCTCACTTCGTTTCCAATACTGTTCTTTCAATGGAATAAATTAAGTAGGGAAAGTTAGAGCGAAAGAGAGCCCATTCGTCTTCCAGTACTCGCATAAGTTTTATTACCGTATGTTGAGAGAGGCACTCGAGGATTAAATTAGTTAGAAATACAAATACAGACTGATTTAATGAACGGACCTCTCCGATCGTCACTGTATCACTGCGAATTCTCACGAGAGTGTCACTTCTGTTGATTCAGTAATAAGGATAATGGACGAGATACCTTCAAAGTGAGTCCTAATGAAAGCGAGTGGTTGCTCTATCGAGAAACCGGAAAAGTAACACAAACAGAAGATTCCTCCTCTCAGGAAACTCGATGCATTTACGCGAGTATGCACCAGATGAAGTTGGGAGACATCCAGTTCCATTAGAGGAGACGCAAAATGGCCGATAAATAGACGTGGTTTCTAAAATACAATGCAAATACGAGTCTTAATCGCGCGCATTATTTTTAGTATTTTTTAAACAGACTATTGTACGCAACTATTATTGGAAGAGCTGGAGCTAAAAAATACAATTTATTTATCAAAAAATTTCACAGAGGAAAAGTGACGAAAAGTACGATTTTTTTATTTAATCAAATATAACTGTTACATTTTATAAATAATTTTAATTTTCATCGACGTGTAATAATTATACATGTCGCCAGTTTCATCTCTTCCGTTTAAGACGTTACATCTTATTTCTCTTCATTTGCCGAGTAAGATGAGGATTGCGCGTAAAAGTTCATAATGATAAATTAGAGGTCACTTTATACTAATTAGCGCCAACGTGGTGCGCGAGATTATGCACCGACTGTTTCGGTGCGCGAAGTGTAAGCTTACATTACGTCGGTCATCTCGCTTACGGTACCGCGGATCGTGATGCGCGTAATAATCATCTCACGTTGCCATCTGGCAGCTTGCGCTGGCGCGGTCCAGGCGAACGTTATATCGAGAAAATTGCATTTATCACGACGTCAGTATATCACTGCTGCGTCATCGTCCGTCGTCTGCATCTTTATCTTTTTTTTTCGCTTAATCCTGCGTTCCAATCTTGTATTCGTAACTCGTTCTGCGACACGCTAACGTGCATCTGGTGAAACAGCTCCGACGTCGGACAATGTAATAGCCGTATCAGGTATTTCATTAAAAGAGAAAAAATTATTTCATAATTACTCGCTAAAGCATTTTGCATAACTAATTTCCGATTATTTGATATACTTTGTGTAATTAATCTCGTGAAAAAAATGAAATACGTGCAACACAATCAATGCGAAAAACATTTTATTTCCGCTTATTAAACAGGATATTCTGTGAATAAATTATTGAACCAATTTAAAGTAAATTTGTACATTAAATTTGTACGATGTAATCGGCTTCAAATTATTTAATTCTCGGATGAATTTCAGATATGTTTCTTTTGGCGTACAACTACACAAAAACATTGTATTATTAACGTATCTTTCTAACGCGTAAAAATTAATGTAAATAAAGATTTATCGTTGAAAACCGAATACAATGAGCGTAAAGGGAGAGACACGTAGCTTAACCTTTCTTCGGGGCGCAGATGCTCGAAGCCGATGCTAGGCGTAAATATAGCTGCAATAAAAGGTTAATGCATCGTCGCGCGAAAGAAGAAAGAGACGAGAGAGGGAAAGACGTGTTTTATAGTCGGGTTTAACATCACCTCGCTTTACACAGGGGAGGTGCATACCCAACGCCGGATAGTGCCATATCCGTATCGGAGTCTGAAATGAATCCAACAGGATGCGGATGTATAATACATATAACATATATATATATATATATATATATATATATATATAATATATATATATATATAAAATATTTTTTTTATTATATTACATTTTATATATAAATATATGTACGTTCGCATCCTGCTAAACTCATTTCCGACTCCGAGTACGGATATGGCACTATCCGGCGTCGAGTATGCACCTCCCCTGTGTAAAGCGAGGCATGTGACATTAAACTCGACTATAAAACACGTCTTTCTCTCTCTCGTTTCTCTTCTCTCGCACGACTATATATATATATATATATATATATATAACATATATATATATATATATATATATATATATATATATATATGGTGATTTATGATATAAAATAGAGAAAACATGGGAGAAAAGAGGAGCGCGAAGACAGGTGCGCGAAATTACAGGTGTAACGGGTCGCCGCGTTTCGCGATGCACGTGCGAGCTCGAACACGTGCGTGCGATCGGCTGTTTACGCTATAAATGCTACATACACTCGGTAGCGTGTTATTAATGTTTGACGCGGATGGAAAATAATTTTCTAGACAAACGATCGAATGATAGCTCGTCGATACTCCCCCGTCATATCGCAAAGTGCCGCTTCTAAAAATCGATATTATAACTCTTTCGCGTGTATCGATACCGCGTTCAAATAGGTATAACATATTTCCGAATACTATGATGAAGTAAGATAGATTAATATACGTTTAGATAAGATTGACTAAGCATTTTCATAATCGATAGCGCATTCAATATAGAAAAATAAATTTTAAAATTTCCTAACTTAAAATTATATTGTCATTTATAGTATATAGCGATTAAAATATTATGTTTGTGAATTTATAGAAGAATTGTAAAGTTTATTTTTTATGCATAGGATATTATTGTAATTTTCCTCGATTATTCTTACAGTCGAAATTTAAACGATCGTGTGATAAAAAATTGAGCACAGATTTTGTCAAAATTCTCCGATACCTCGATCCATATTCTAAATATGGTCGTTCGATTTTTATTTCAATACAAAGATCACGTCGAATGTTAAGATGAAAAGATTGAACTGTGTGCGCAGCGAAAATGCGGTCCCTTTGACAAGGTACATTTACAATTCTTATTCCCTACCTGTCGTCGCCTTATGCAGAACCGATCACTCGTATGTAGTTTTTTTTACGGCTTTCAACAGCGGAGAATCGACAGTATTAAACGAGAACGGTGGAGAAGACAGCTTTCCTGAAATTCTCGCGCTGTACGATCGGATAGAGAATTTGCATTGAATGCAATAACTTATCAAAGCTCGGTGTAAAAAAACGGTCACGGCACAGCGAAACCGTTCGATGCATCTTGATTAATAACGGGGAAGCCGCGAGGAGGCTACCTTCGTACGTCGTTTTCATGTTACGCATGTGCGATAAATTATAGCGCGGGAACAGAAACGATATAGGGAGAAAGAGTCTCATCGAAGAAAATCGCGCTTCTACCAAGTCGGAGTTGTCATTCAATGTGCCCCATAAATACAAAGATCCGCATTCTATGCGATCTCCTTTTTCTCATTAATTTCCCGGAAACACGGTGGTGTTACGCATCTTCTTCTTCTTCTATTACGGATTACACTTTGCAGTCTGCGTGATGTCACGGATCATTAACGATCTTCGTTGCGACTTATGAGCTTGTATTTACAAGTTACGGTGTAGAACATTTAACGCCTGAAAGCTTAATAAAGAAGTTAAAGCGAACCGTTAAAGTAACAGATACGCTTGATAAGCTACAAAGTGATGATGTCGATCTCAACCTGAATATATTTAATTATTGGCTTTGAATATATTTAATTATATAAAATATCTAATAATTACAAATCAATGTATAAGTCAAACGTTTTGGAAATAATATTTGATACGATATTTTTCTCTTCGTGATAATTTATTTTGGGAGACAAATAATTTGATCAAAGAAATTTTTCTCTTTTCCTTTAGAGAGAGAATAAAACGCCAAGTCTCTAACTTCAAAATCTTGTTTAATTTTTTAAGTAATATGATTCTTTTTCGATTTTTTTTAACTGTTACTAAAAAGAGATAAAACATTATGAAGAGAAATGACCAAATTTTTCATGTTTCTCAATATAAGAAATTATTGAATACACAAAATTATTGAAATCAATAAAATATAAAATATAAAAAAATATAATAAAATATAAAAAATATAAAATATAATAAAATATAATTTATAAATTTAATGATGCACCAGCTTCACACACACATAAAAACAGAATATGTAATATATGATTATATTGTATTTTCCGAATATTATTATATTTTCCAAAACGTATTTGTATTTTATTGTTTTATCAATCCAGCTTATTTTACATTATTCTCTCTAGTAATTAATTGATTTATTCTGCTGAGAATATATATTTCTCTGGACAAAATGAACGCATAATTTTTTCCACTTTTTCTTTAAAATTTTTCGTTAAAATTTAAATATCAGTTTTTAAAGAAAAAGTGAAAAAAAATTATGCGTTCATTTTGTCCAGGAGTATATTCGACTGTGCTCACGCCGAAACACTTATACATGAATCCTTCTATGCCGCGCCTTAATTTAGACCCGGCAACCGGCGTCTGCCAGCGATTTTAATAAAGTCGCGATTAATAGCGGCCGCTTTAACGGGCCGCTAACAAAGTACCGGTGCATGTTATCAAGCAAAGTGCTTGGCTAGCGAAAACTTGAGACCATAGTCGGCCAATCGTGGACAGACCGCGCGCGGGAGCGGTCCATCAGGCTCTCTTTCTCTCTCTCTCAGGAGACGATGAACGCTCTCATGTTGCAAACCCGTATGCGTGCTCTCCTGGTCTGGAGCCGGCAATTACCTTATGTTCGTGTGCACGTCCGCGCGTGCACGCAACGTTTATCGAGCTATCGAGGTTGTGCAAATAAAGAGAAAAATTTCTCCGACAGGAATGGAGAAAGAAAGAGAGACAGACAGGGAGAGAGAGAGAGAGAGAAAGAGACAGATGCGTGTCTAATTGTAGCCGCACGCGACGAGATATGGCGCAGCTTCTTTAACAAACGGCCGAGTTAGACGGAATAAAGAACGACGGTGGGTGAAGGGAATCGCGATTCCTAAGCTCGAATCGAATATCGCATGTTCATAATTCTGCCTTTTTCACGACTCGAGAACTAATGTTCGCTTATGTATATGCGTCTTGCATATGCACATGTATATTATAAGTAGTGTGTGCGCCGGATACGATGATTTCACGAGCGATCCGATGACGCCGGCATCTCGCTAACGTAATTGGTAATTAATGTACATATACAGGTACGTATATACATAATTGTGGGATGAAACGAGTAAATAAAGTGCGCGCACGCGCTTACGATACGCAACTGTAAATAATAACTGATGATGTAGATGCGAATAAACCGGAAAACCGCAAAACAAATTTCTGATATTCGAACGCTCGTTGAAAATATAAACGTATTATAGAATCGGAGATTCGATGATTATAAAATACAATTTCCTCTTCCTATTATATGTTTTATATTTTTCCATATTAATTTCTCGGAAATACAAGCTTCGTTTCCTCTACGTTTCATTTTGCCACATCGCCTTTTAAGTGATATTAAGTGATACTAAATTCAGCGATTATTTTATTTAAACGCGAAACGCGAAATATAACGCGAACAGAAATAGCCTTATATTTTCTAATTAATAAGAAAAATGTAGAGTATTGCAAAATTGTATACTTGTATATTTTTATAAATATTCGATAATACTGGTTTAGCACGTCTTAATTAATAATAATTTATTTTAATAACAATTTATTTAGTTATTTTTTTAGTATAATGTCGTGTCTAAAAATATTTTCAAAAATAAATCCATGCAAATCTCGGAAAAAACTTCGTTTTCATTTAAAGTTAAAAAATTGCATCTTTATCTATAGTGAAAAAAAAAGTAAAATGATGTATCGTAGGACGTCCATTTCAATTTTGTGGACGAATCTGAATCCATTCATTTTGTTTGAAATGTTATAAATGACAGCGATGACGCATGATCCCAATTGATATGATTCTTTTGTATGATAAACCTAGCAACTTGATTTTCTTTTTCTTTCTTTCTCTCTCTCTCTTTCTCTATTTTTTTAACGTTTGAAATAGCCAGTATTCGAGAGAGAGATAGGAATGATCGTAGGTCTCTTTTCCCGTCGATCGCGGTACCAATGATCAGTATAAATATACGAGACCGGTTGCTATCGTCTAACTAACAATTTGGAGCGTGGCGTAGAAACAACAAACGACTATACCTGTATCCTCGCCTTAGGAAGAGATCGAGATTACTTCTTTGGAAATTCACTCGAACGTGTTC